ATCAACTACATTAAAATAATCAACAACCATAGCCCTTCTTAACTATATATAACAATCTTAAGATCATCTCAAAACAAAAGGTTATGCTCTATCCCTTCACCGTCATCATAAAATTCAAGAGAAACATTACTGAGAATTAGCTCTTCTAACCATGTACCCAGAGGACACCATTGAAGCCCCCTTGACACAGCATACAAATCATAGCCCATTTACTTTCCACGTAATAATGGTTCCATCAGCCAGTCCAATAGCCGGGGGGGTCCAACAACCTAACATCCCGTACAACCTTTCACAAAGGACTTGGACATCTTTTCCACTTTAGTTTGCTGAAAGTAGAAAAGATCCTAGCTCCATTTATTTAACACCCCCCTTGGTGAATTTGCTTTTACTAGCATTGTTGATGCCTCTCATATTCCAAGAAATAACCTGACTGATTATCGAAAACTATAATTTCCTTATCCCCTACATTTACTTATTCTCTTTTTTCCCCTCTTTTCCAATCTTAAGAGAATTTCCCCCTTTTGACAAATACTCTCAAGCCTCCTAAATAGATGAATCACCTGATTTTCACCTCCTTTAAAACTCACCCAGAAATTTACTAACCTTCTCACACTTTTAGGACCCATTCTGATTCAAAGACACCTATTGAAATACAACACCCTCCCTTGTGCAATAATGCATCGCCATGATATCATCCTCCTACCTCTCATACTAGTAAAAGCTCCAAATGGAGTGAGCGGTCTTACTGCAAGAGCCGAGAGAGAGATCGGGAGGGACTGGAAGAGGAAAAAGAAAGATGCCCAATTTGGAGTCAACAGGTTCCAAACAGCTTGTTTGGAACTGTTAGAATATTATAGAATATTTTCTAACATAATAGTATGATTATATTTCCAAATATGTAAGTTTAATTAGTAAGAAAATTATTAGGGTAGTTTATGTTAATTACCATATACGAATCCATCTACATGTATATATATCCCTACTTTTATTTCAATAAAACATTAGAAAATATCCAGTATTCATTTCCCTAATTCTAACATGGTATCAAAATTAGGGTTAAGGTTAGAGTTTTAAGAGTCAAATTTCATTAGACCAAAAGAATGGTTAAACAACCCATCTCGGCGCCGGAGGAAGTCGACCAGCGATCTCCAGCCAGTTCAGAGTGCGGCCATCACGGTGATGTACGCGGGAGAAGCCGAGACGGTGGTTTGCACGGCAGTTTGAGGCTGTGTGCGTCGGGTTTGCTGGAGGAGGATATTTCTATGCGGTTTGCTTTCTCCGTTCGAGGATAGAAGCAACAAAAGGGCTTGGTCAACTGGCTTTATGCACGTAACCAAAAGGCCGAAGAAAGAACAGGCGAGGGAAGCAGATCGCACGATAGGAAGCGATTGTCCGCTCTCCGGCCTGATTTCCGCTGTTTCTGTTAGCGCCATTCCAGATTAAGGTTGGCATTGGAGTTCTGTGGTGATTTCCAGCCGAAAGGGGGCTGTTTGGTAGTTTCAGACGGCAGTGAGTGTAACTTCAGCGGCAAAGTGTGCAGCGGCGTAGGCGGCGTAGATCTCCGGTGGTTGACAGTGAGGTTCTGGTAGGGTTGTTGATACCCGTACATGAAGAGGTATTCTGTTTTCTTAAATTTTCTGGTATATTTGCAATATTTTTGGTGCATCTCTAGCTGCTATATTTTGGTTTTTTTGGATGACAATTTGTGAATATTCTCGAGTTAAGAATGAGTGATAACAAGTTTTCGATGAGTGAGATAGTCCCGACCATGTCAAAGATCACTGAATATAAATTAAATGGCACAAATTATCCGGAATGAAATAAAACTATTAGGGTTTATCTACGCAGTATTGATAAAGATGATCACTTGACTCAAAACTCTACTACTGATGGAACTAGACAAATCTGGCTAAGAGATGATGAACGGTTGTTTCTACAGATAAGAAATTCAATTGACAGTGAAGTAATTAGTTTAATTAATTATTGTGAGTTTGTTAAAGAACTGATAGATTATTTAGAGTTTCTATATTCAGGCAAAGAAAATGTGTCTGCATGTATGATGTTTGTAAAGCTTTCTATCCTGCTGAGAAGGAACTCAAATCTCTCATGACCTACTTTATGCAATTTAAAAAGATATATGAAGAGCTCAATGTACTTTTGTCGTTCAGTGCTGATATCAAGATACAGCAAACACAGAGAGAGCATATGGCCATAATGAGTTTCTTGGCTGGTCTTCCATCTAAATTTGAGACTGCTAAATCTCAAATCCTATCTGGTTCCGAGATCATATATTTTCAAGAAGTTTTTAGTAGAGTGTTAGCACAGAAACTACTATACCTAATCAGCATACTAATGTTCTTATTACAAGAGAAGGAGGAAGAAATAATAACAGGGAAGGAAACAGAGCAATAGATAGTCGGTATAATGATTCAAGTAATATTGTTTGTTATTACTGTCATGAGTAAGGACATACGAAGCCGCAATGTAAGAAATTACAAAATCGAAATCAGAGAACACAGACTGCAAATATTGCTACTGCTCGCTCATCTTCTGAGAAAACTATTGTGGTTTCAGCCGACGAGTATGCAAGGTTCTCTCAGTTTCAAGAATCTTTGAAAAACCGCACACCAGCTACTATATCTGCTGAATCAGGTTAAAGATGTTTTATCTCCTCATCAAACAAATGGGTGATTGATTTTGGTGCTATAAATCACATGACAAGTAACTTTAATAGTTAATTTTTAATCACACAGAGCACCCTCTCCTGTAACTATTACTGATGGGTCAACCTATAGTATTGAGGGTTCTGGGACTATAAAACCAACTCCCGCCATTACTCTGACCAATGTTTTAAGTCTACTCAAACTTGCTTTCAATTTGATTTCTGTAAGTAGATTTACCAAAAATCTTAATTGTTGTATCTCATTCTTTCAAGATTATTGTCTTTTTCAGGATCTTATGACGAAACAGATTATTGGTAAAAGACATTTATAAGAAGATTTCTACATTCTTGATAATTAGGTGCCTCGATCAGTTGCCTACTCTAGTATCGTCTCTCCATTTGAAGCACATTATCAGTTGGGGCATTCATCTCTCACTGTGTTGAAAAAGTTGTGTCCTCAGTTTCATGATATATATTCATTAAATTGTGAGTCATGTCAGTTCACAAAACATCATCATAACTCGTCAAGTCTAAGAATTAATAAACGAACTGAGTCTATTTTTGAATTAGTTCATTATGATATTTAGGGTCCATGTCATGTTATATCTAAAACAGAGTTTAAGTATTTTATTACTTTTGTTGATGATTTTTCTCGAATGACTTGTATATACTTTATGAAAAATTGTTTTGAAGCTCATTTTTGTGTTTTTCATGTAAAAATCAAAACTCAATTTAATGTTTCTGTACATGTGCTAAGAAGTGATAATGGTAAAGAATATATGTCAGACTCATTTTAGAATTATATGACTCAATATAGGATTGTTCATCAGTCATCTTGCGTTGATACACCATCTCAAAATGGGGTTGCTGAGAGAAATAACAAACATTTACTTGAGACTGCTTGAGCTCTCTTATTTCAGATAAAAGTTCCTAAGCAATTCTTGGCTGATGTTGTATCCATTATCTGTTTCTTAATTAATCGTCTACCGTCTGCAGTATTTGAATGTGATATTCCTTACAGTATTCTTTTTTTAAATAAGTCATTGTTTCCGGTACAGCCGCGAATATTTGATAGTATTTGTTATGTTCGAGATGTTCGACCAAATATTACTAAGTTGGATCCCAAAGCCTTTAAGTGTGTTTTTTTGGGATATTCTCATATGCAAAAGAGATATCGGTGTTACTTTTCAGATCTCAATAAATATTTAGTGTCAACCGATATAGTCTTTTCAGAGAGTATACCGTTTTCCTCCTCACAGTCCAATTCCACAGATCAGGTAAAGAACGATGAGTGGCTCTAGAATAGTAACTGTACAGAGCAACCATATAATGATATTTTTTCTTATGTGTCTTTTGAAAAACTGATGATGGTATGCCTTTAACTCAAGAACAACCACCCATTATTCATGTTTATTCTAGAAGACAACAGACTAATGATACATGTCCTGTACCAGTTTCTTCGTCATCTGATCCTTCCACTCATGATCTTGATATTTCCATCAGTCTTCATAAAGGTACACATCAATACATCATTCCTCATTCTACTCATGCTATTGCTAACTTCATTTCATATGATCATTTGTCTCATTTGTCTAACTTTTTAATTGCTTCTATAGATTCCATTCCACTTTCATACCCAATACAGTTAAAAATGTTCTAAATCACCCTGATTGGCGTAATGTCATGCTTGAGAAGATAAATGTCCTGACGATATTATACCTGCGATTTGATAAATTTGCCCAAAGGAAAAAGAGTAAAGGGTGCAAATGAGTATTTGCAGTCAAAGTGAATGCAGATGGCTTTGTGGCGGATTTAAATCTCGATTGGTAGCAAAAAGTTATGCTCAGTCTTATGGGGTGAAATATTCTGATACATTCTCTCCAGTAGCAAAACTTACCTTTGTCCGTTTATTCATATCTATTATAGCCTACAAAGACTGGCATTTACACTAGTTAGACATTAAAAATGCATTTCTACATGATGATCTCTTAAAAAAAGTGTATATGAAGCAACCACATGGGTTTGTTGCTTAGGGAGAGTACGAGAAAATTTGTCATTTGAATAAATCTTTATATGGTCTGAATCAGAGTTCCTGTGCGTAATTTGGCAAATTTAGTGAGGTAGTAAGTGAATTCGGATTGATGAAGAGCAAGTGTGATCATTCAATCTTCTATAGACAATCATCAACTGGTATTATACTTTTTATTGTTTATGTTGATAATATTGTGATTAGAGGAGATGACCATGTAGGAATATCCTATCTCAAGTCATTCCTGCATACTAAGTTCAATACCAAAGAATTGGGACAACTAAACTATTTCTCGGGGTTAAAGTAACAAGAAGCAAGAAAGGGATTTTATTATCTTAGAGAAAGTATGTACTTGATCTACTTGTAGAAACAGAAAAACTGGGAGTTAAGCCATGCAATACGCCTATGGTACCAAATGTACATCTTACAAAAGATGATGGTGATCTCCTTGATGATTCAGAAAAATATAGACGACTCGTTGGGAAATTGAATTATCTCACTGTGACTCGTGCAGATATTGCATATCCTATCAGTATTGCAAGTCAATTTATATTTATACCTACAGTTAAACATTGGAAGGTTCTGAAACAGATTCTGTGCTACTTAAAAAGTGCCCCAGGGCTCGGCACAATATTTAAAAATTACGGACATATTCACATTGAATGTTTTACAAATGTTGATTGGGCTGTATCGAAAATTGATAGGAGGTCTACTACGGCTATTGTGTTTTTGTTGGTGGGAATCTCATATCATGAAAAAGTAAGAAGCAAATAATTGCATCTCGTTCAAATGCAAAATCTGAATATAGAGATACGTCTCAGTACACATGTGAAAGTCTTATGGATACATTATTTTTTAGAAGAAGTGGGTTTGAATCCCACATCTCCTGCAAAACTTTGGTGCGATAATCAGACTGCCATTCATATTGCCTTAAATCCTGTGTATCATAAGAGAACCAAACATATCGAGGTTGATTGTCACTTCATGCTAGAAAAGATTTAGAAAAACTTTATATTTACTAGTTATATAAAGATAGAAAAATAACTTGATGATATATTCACAAAATCTTTGAACGGAACACGGATTGAGTATCTTCGGAACAAATTGTACATAATTAATATCTATACTTCAGCTTGAGGAGAAGTGTTAGAATATTATAAAATATTTTCTAACATAATAGTATGATTATATTTTTAAATATGTAAATTTAATTAGAAAGAAAATTATTAGGGTAATTTATGTTGATTACTATATATGAATCCATCTACATATATATATATATCTCTATTTTTATTTCAATAAAAATAAAAAAATATTCAGTAATTCTTTCTCTAATTCTAACAGGAACATTCCTTCCTCACTTTCAAAAACAAGTAGAGCTAGCTTTTCCCAGTTTCAAAATAGTCTCTCATTCCTCTTCTTAATACTAAGATAGATGAAGAGGACAATGGAGACCAGGAACAGCAGTTTGTTTGAATTTGATCTCGAGGTCTTTTCTTGAATTATGTCCTCAAATTTGTTATTCAGAGTTTTTTTGGCTTTGGAGGAGCTACCTGTTTCTGTTTGGCTTCTCTTGAGAGTTTGGACTTGGGCCTAATAGACAAACAACAATTTAAAGGGGTAGAAGGCTCGAGAATTTGCTAACCCAATTCTGCACTAAAGAACCAACAGTTTGGCTTATGCTTTCTTTTTCAGCTGCCACAAGGCCTGCAGTGCCGTAGCATAAATGGGAGAGGACTTCATTTCATAACCTTAACCACCAACTCCTTTCCGTACACTAAGATGCCCCTTGTGGGTGGATTCCCTACCATTATATCCACCATCTTGAATTTTACAAAGGACAGACATAATCTTCTTCTTCTTCCTCATCAGACCATAGTCACCAACAACAGCAACCGGCCTTTCCTCGTGCTTCAACCCATTGACTACATATACAGTGGGAACAGTCTCCAGCACCCGTCTGCCTCTTTGCCTTATGGAAATAATATACACCTCTTACCTCTCTCATTTTGTTCACTCAAGTCCAAGAATCTCTCTCTCTCTTCTGTTTTTTCCTAGCGATGATGTTAGAGTCCATCCCTCCCTCTTGCAACACCAACTCCATGTATTGTGTTCCTTCTCCACAAAAACTTGCAAAAATGCCTTGATGAACCACCAGACCCCAATATCAGAAAAAAAGGACCAAGTAGTGGTTGCGAAAAGCATTTTCCATTATGCAAAGAATATGTAAAGCCTCACATTCCAGCTTTTTGCTCAACTACCGGAAAGTTTCTAGGGTGTCGATTGGCATGGTAACAATGAGTAGCCAAGCTGGTTGAAAAAAAATACCTTCCTCAGAAGACTCACGACAAGAGAGAGAAGGAGAGCCATATAACCAGCTCATCAAGTCTTTCCTTCTGCTCACACTTTATGCACAGTTTCTTGTTGACTCTCTCTCATTAAAATTCCCTCACTTGTATTCTCCACTTATTTACAGTAATTTATTGGAAATATAATCTAAGAGAGAGATCATAAATGTTATAAATTTCAAATGTGTTAAACTTATCAAGATCAAATAATGAGTGAGTTGACAAACCTTTCTTATGAAACAATGACTATACCTCCTCCAATATCCATGTAGTTATTGATTACTTTTATAATTCCTGTAACAGTCACCACATCACCAGGAACACACACATCAACGATATCATTGGTCAGTTCACACTCTACTGTTCGAGGCACTCGACCTTCTTCATGATCTTCAGACTTTAGCAGCTCTTGTATCCTGAGAAGCACAATAAGGAAAAAATAAAACAAACTGAAGTGTCTGTATATATATATATACACACACAACTAACATGGCACCAGGGAAAGGAAAAGCATCCAAATTTTCATCTCTCTCCTCTTCGAAAAAAGAAGCTCAAATTGAAAATTTTTCTACATAAAGCTTACCAGTCAAGATGCCTACCTTATTTTCTGAAAATCAATTGCCTGAGCAGAAGACCTGATTGGAATAAATGTTTTGCTCTTGCACCCATGAAAGTTGCAAATGGGTGGTGGTGAAAATTTTCCATCGGGAAAGACACTTGTCATGCTAGTTTTACATTTTGCACAATCAAAACTCATTTGCATGACAAGAGGCTTGACAGTGCTAACTTTTATTACAGTGCCACGTACAGATACAAGCTTGTCTGTCATGACAACAAATTATAGCATTTATCATATTGTATCCTAGAGAAGCTAATTTACAATGGTACAACATATAACATCCAGAGAGAAAAATAACATTTAGCAAGATAAAGTAAAAAAGTTACCAATATATGCTGCTTTTAAGTTTTTCAAAGCAATTATAGATTCAGGATAATTATATGGACGAATATTTATCTTCATTCCATCCTCCATTCTGTAATTTTCCCAATGGACTAACATAATCTGCTAGCAAAACAAGGAATGGTTATCCTATGTCAGCAAGAAAACAAATGCAAATTGAATGCATAGGAAATATGGGTATTCTCCCTAAAACTTGCCTCATACCTTGTGAACAGCAGCACTCATACACGTGAGGGTTATTCTGGGTTTGTTGTCCAAAATTGCGAAAAAGTTCCCAATATCACATACTTTTCTGAACTTTGAAAGATCAAGTGACAAAGAGTAGACAGCTCCATCACACTTTACCTGCTTATTTGTTAATATTTCAACTTCCAGATTCAAGAAAGTTATGAGCTCATGACAGTAGCTAAATCTTAAGCAAAACATGATGAAAATAAAAGCTCCATGCCATGTGTAAAAAATCATATGCCGTACCATGAGGATGGCGGAGGAAAATAGCATTTGCAAGGTACTATTAGCTTAATGAATCAACTATCACGTGAGCTTCTTATAAATGGCTAGTCCTAGAATTTATTTGTGCTGTAAGTTGTTAAAAATTTGTTAAAATAGCTTCATTAACAGCATTTTAAGGTAAAAGTAGTACGGTGTTGAATAAAGGTTAATGTAAAAAGTATTATTAATGTAAGATATGATATTATTGTAATTAATTATATTATAAATTAATAATAAATATTGAAATGATAAAAGATCTTGCAAAACAATAAAAATTTTAAATTATTATGTTTTATTTAAAATATTAAATCTTCTTAAAATATTATTAAATAATTTAAATCATTTTGAAATTCTTTATTTCGATTTAATTATTTTGTCTATTTTATTCAATATAGATATTAATTGTAAATCATAATTATTTTATTTCACAGAGAAAATTTTATTTAAAAAATTTAAGATAAATATAAAAAATATATAAATTTTATTATTATATTTTTTACTTTAAAATTATAAAAATTAATTAAATATAAAATTGATAAATATACTTCTTTAAAATATACACCTGAAATTCGTTTCTGCTTTTGCTCTTACCAAAAGCTAAGATCAAATTATGATTTTAATTGAAAACATTTATGTTTTAGTGTGTGGTTCAGCCTTCAATTTTTAACAGCAAAAAAAAGAATTAGAAGTCTAGCCAAAAAGGCATTTGTTCATTGGCTTGGCCGGTTTTTAAGTTGCAAGCGTGTCAAAGTGCTTTGAAAATAGCTTTCACTATAAGCAACTTTAATATTTGTTCAACCTTCTGTTTTCTAATAACAAAAGCAAAAGCAGAAGTCTAGTCAAACAGACATTTATTTGTTTGGTCCAACTGGTGCTTGTGCTATAAGCAAGTAAAAGTGTTTTGAAAATAATTTTCAGTAAAAGTAGCTTTAAGGTGAAAACAGTATAGAATGCATTGGACAGCTACTGTAACTTCCGTTGTAAGTTTAATAAAAATACTTATTAGAAAGTTTGATAAAAATAGTAGTTAGATGTTTGATAAAAATTGTTTAAATCACTTTAAAAAGCAGAAAATGAATCTTTAGTTAATATAGCTGCTGATACTTAAATTATCAAAATGGTATAATATATTTGGTAAAATAGCTGTAGATACTAAAATAAATAAAATATATTAAAAAAGATAAATTTACTTCAAATAATTACTTATACAGTAGTAATAGTACATATATACATAATATAATATGTATACACAAATTTGTGCGTACATATTATACATAACATTATATATAATGCACTTATATCAAAATATATTTGTCTACATAATAGTGATATATATATATATAATATGCACTTAAAAAGTTAATTGAAAAAGAAGAAATTTTAATTTGAGTTATTACTTGTATAATAATATTAAAATAAAAATTTATTAATTCTTTAGTTTCACTAATATTTAAATTTTTAATGACAACCATAGCTACCTACATGAGGTAGTGGAGGTGGCGGGTGATGAACGAATGGGGAAAGGGCGCTAGAAACAGATGGAGGCAACCTACAGATGGCGATCGGCGCGTGGCAGATCGTAATAGTGTCACTAGTGACTCCCAAATTTATAAAAAACAAAATAAGTATAAATGAAATCCTTTTTGTGGATTCTTCGCTCAGTATTAATGATTGTGACAATCGTCAAAGGAAGCATCATCATCCCTATCTTTTGTGTTTTCCTCTTTTCTTCCTCCATGTCAATACATAAGTCATCTTTCTTAGAGCGTTTCTAACCCATATGGTCTTGCTTTCAACACTTGATGCAAACTATTTCCTTACCCTGAGTATTGAGCTGTTGGAAGCTGGTTTTGCAACAGTTCAGTTTGAATCTCGTTGCGGACAACCTACTTGCCCATCATAAGTTGCTCTTGAGTTTTTCTTCTACATATTGATTTCTCTTGGGACGAACAGGATTCCCTTGAAGTTGGGTACTTCAACCAATCTTCTATACTAGTGCAGCTTGGTAAATTTGGACATCATATAGATGTTTGTGGTTTCTGAAGTTCAATTTTTTGGTTGACAAGATTGGAACTTTTTGAATGCGGGTCTTAGATGTTTGTGTAGGATTGTTGTAGCTCTAATACTAAATGATTTCGGATAAATCTTAGGATTGCTTTGCTTAGAAATTTAAAGGGAACCTGGATGTGATATCTAAGATTATTAGGTGGCATGTCTAAGATTTGATTGAATCACAAAATTATGTAAAGAGAAATTTTTAAAGTGTTAAGATTTGATTGAATCATAAAATTATGTAATGAGAAATTCTTGAAGTGTTTTATTGAATAACAATCTTAAAAGAGTGTCAAGTAATTTTTTTTTTAAATAAAAAATATAAAAGGTATATTAATATGTATAAAATATCTACAATATAGTAATGGTATCATGACATTTCAAAAATCATCCCACCTATAGATATCATGACCTAACATCACTGAATCAAAAAAATCCAACCATCTATCCCTAATTCTTGTCATGTCACCCTCTACACTATCAAAAACCCCACTGTCATGCTCTTTCTAAATAATCCAAAAAATTATTAAAGAGATAAGCTTTGAATGAGTATTCTTTTTATATAACCCCTTCCAAGCCCAAAGTTCCTCCCTCACCGATCCAGCAATCACCCACTTGATACCAATTCGATTATACACCATAGTTCAAAGCTCACAAATCACCCAACACCAGAGGAGAGTATGGTTGCAAGATTTCGTGTCCTTTTTACATAGACAACAACCACTTACCATAGTTTTGCCCATTTTCATAAGATTATCAATCGTCAAGATATTCCCTCCTTGCTTCCCAAGCAAATTAAGTGATTCTAGGCTGAGGTTGAACTTTCCAAATCTGGAAAGTCAGATCTGACAAGAGGGAATATAGGTTTCCGGCCAACCAGATTTGGAAAGTTTAAGCTCCGCCTAGAATCACTTTCTTTGCTTGAGAAGTAGGGAAGAAATATCTTGAAGATTGATAATCTCATGGGAAGGGGTGAAACTATGGTAAATGGTTGCTGTTAAGAGGGAATATAGGTTTATTTCCCATGTGATTTGACAAGAGGGAATATAGGTTTCTGGCCAGCCAGATGTGGAAGAAAGCTTTTGAGCTCTCCTATTTTTTTCTTCTGCAACGCCCAAAAAATGGTAAGGGGAACGAGACCCACAGGTTTTTTCCCATCGCTAATACCATTCCACGCCCAAATCTCACTCTTTACATTGCCTGCCATCGCCCGATTGATTCTCAATAACTCATACACCATAGTTCATAACTTGTACGCCAATGGACACCATAACAAGATACGATTGCAAGATTATTCCGCCCCCTTACATAGGAAGCATCCATTCACCAAAATCTTTTCCCTCCTCCTTGACATCCTCTATCCGCAATACCAAACTTCGCCTTGATTACCCTTCTCCAAAGAGTACAATTTTCTATCATGAACCGCCAAATCCACTTACCCTGGAGCGTCTTGCTCATATCCACGAACGACCTCAACCTCAAACCATCCAGATGCAACAGTTTTTTAATCTCATACCGTGCCACTAGGTAATATCTCCTTTTATTCTCCGAGTGACCCTACAAGAATCTGCATTGGATGGATTCCAATCTCTTTGCCACGCTCATTGGGATTGTCAAGAGAGACATGTAATGGATAGGAACGTTAACCAACATGTTTTTGATGAGAGTAAGTCCCTCTCCCCAAGACAATAGATTTCTCTTCCAAACCGCTAACCTTCTCAATGTCCTTTCTATGGTTGGTCTCATACTCTCACATTTTTGTATTTAGCACTAAGGGCAGCCCAAATAGTTGATCGACAACTTCACCCTTTTGCATCCCCAGACATTTGCCAATCTGTTAACATCATCCCTACCATCTAATCTCTCAAATTCTGACTTGGTCAAATTAACATTAAGCCAGAGACACAAGAAGACACATCCAAGATTGAGAAGCATTCCTTCATCTGGTTTCCAGAATACTAAGGCATCATCCATAAAAAAATAAGGACTTTCTTCCACCTGTTCGCCCACTCCCACTTTCAGTCATCTGAACAAATCCAACTCCTTAGCCTTTATCAAATTTCTTTGCATTGCTTATTACTCATCTGACTGTTCAATTTTGAGCACGAAAGAGATGAAATTTGAGTAGCTTGAGATGAGATTCCTTGTCTGTTGGACAAACATCTGAAGTAGCTACTTTTGAATCTCCTGCCAAATAGGAAATATGAATAGGTTGTACAAAGCCATAGAGGCCTCAACTTGAGTAGCAAAATGTTAACTTGTATTACAGCAGACTCTGCCATAGGAAGCAAATTTATCCAGCCCTTGGGTTTGTCATGACACATGTACTTTAGATAAGTTTCAAGGCACTGACTAACCATTTCATTTTAGTCATCTATTTAGAGATTGTATGTTGTAGACTGCTGAAAGTTGACCCCTTGTAAGTGAAAAATGTCTTGCCAAATAGCGTTTAGGAAGATTGAGTTCCCATCATTTACTATATTGACTCGAAGTCTATGAACACTTTGAGCAATGCTCAGAGGCACATCAAATGTTTTAAATTATCCTTATAGAAGTTCCATTTAAGTTCATTATTTCTGCCATTATGTCACCAGACCTGCTATTCCGAAAGCACATGCATTCTTGGCTGAGTTGGCATCACCAAGCAACAGAACTCTGCTCAGAAGCACATCAGACATTTTAAATTATGCTTGTAGAAAAAGTCCTATTTAAGTTCATTAATTCTGCCATTATGTCACCAGACCTGCCATTCCGAAAGCAAATGCATTCCTCCTATTTTAGGTTATTCCTTCGTCAATCTTGTTCGCGTGTACATCTGGTTGCATTCGAGTGTTTTGCCTTTCAGATATACACATGCAATCTTCACATTTTAATTTAGGCAGTATTTCCT